GGTGGAGAGTTGTTCCCATCTTTGGGCTGGGGCTCCCCAGTGCCAGCTCCTTTTACTTGACTGCATCCAGCGCAGAGCAGTTCGAATCGTCGACGACCGAGTTCTTTCTGATCGGCTCGATACATTAGCGCTGCATAGGGTTGTTGCATCCCTTTGTATTTTCTATCGAATCTACCACGGGGAGTGCTCTGAGGATTTGTTCGGAATAATTTCAGCCGCCAAATTTCACAAACGCACATAGCGTCAAAATTTACGATACCATCCTCACGGGGCGATTTTTACGGACCGATACGACTTAGGGACCTTCAAGAAAAGAGTTTACACCTTTCTAAAAGGCCGGCAACGCATTTGCAAGTCCCCTGGTGTTTCAGTTGTTAATGGGCGGCGGTAATCACTTACCATCAGGTGAGCCGCATGCTCGTTTGCCCCCTCTTCTATAAAAAAAATATTGACATTTACTCTCCAGTGCAAAATGTAAAATTGAAAGTGAAATGTAATGTAGTTAACTCAATTACAACATGTTTACCTCAACAAAAATTAGAAATTTGTAAATATCAATTGCCTAAATATATTCAGCTATCGGATGAAAACTTTAATTTACCACGGGAAATATCACTTCTCTTGGGGGCTGATATTTATTTCAACATTTTATTAGATGGGCATATTAAACTACTTAAAGGTCCTGTCTTGCAGAATACCTTATTTGGTTATGTTGTTACGGGGAATGTGTTACCTTATTAGTGGCATATGTGAGGTGGAATTTCTGTGAGAGTGCGCCTAAAACTAGTTTAGGATCAGCACAAAGACGACGAAGGTACTCTCTTTCTTCTTAGAGCTTAGAAAGGTATGATGATTTAGGTATTATCACTGGGTGCCTTTTATCTGTATAGGATAGGATCCATAGGTCGCTGTTTCAGATCCTACGATCCTAAATAATTTGTGCTTGTTAAAATTTTTTTATGGTAAGTGTTGAGAACCGGATACTCTTTTTACTGAAATCAAGAAATTTCATCTGAGTCCTCGTGAGTGGCAATTGCATTTTGATTCTTAATAGAGGATAGATGTAGATGAGCCACAGCATCTACTTACCATCAGGTAAACTGTGTGCCCGTTTGTCACCCTTTTATTATAATATATGTAATATAAGTCATAATGTAAGCACGAAAATATTAAAAAAGGTGAAAAGGCACTATGATTCGGAGCAAGTAAATAAAGCAGGTAAAAACAGCAAAAATCTATGCGACAATCGAATGCACAGCAATTATTATCCTCTCTCTCACCAATTCATTCGTGTAATAACGTTAATAACTTCTTTACAAACATCGGGAAGGAGCTTGCGCAAAAAATCGACAACAATTGCACAGTTCTATCAGAAGGAACCACCTCAGAAAAAACTAATCTGTCACCACGGACACGGACGAAATTAAATCACTTATTAACTTGCTTAAACATAATGCAGCTACCGGCTGGGACGGAATTCCTCTGAGTTTTTTAAAGCGAGTGAGTTTTCTATTCTAGCACCTATTTTAGCCCATGTTTATAATCTCTGTCTGGAATCTTCTGTCTTTCCTAATTCGTTCAAAATCATCATCCATCCAATCTTCAAGGGTGGTGATGGGAATCTGGTTAACAACTATCACCCTATTGCAGCGCTTAGTACTTTATCCAAGATTATGGAACGTTTAATCAATAGGCGGCTAGTAAATTATCTGGAGCACTGTGATACTACCTCGTCCCAGCAGATTGGATTTCGTAAAAACAAATCCACTTCTGACGCTATTCACGAACTAACTACTTTCGTTGTAGGTAAGCTTAATGACAATAAAATGTCGTCACAATATTCTTGGATTTGGCTAAGGCTTTTGACACGGTTCCAATCAACACTTTTTTATTAAAACTAGAAAATATAGGCATCAGGGGCTCTCAACTTAAATTTTTCCGTAGCTATCTTTCAGGCCGGACTCAAAGAGTAAAAATAGCTAACCACATAAGTGATGAACTTTCTATATCTTACGGTGTGCCCCAGGGTAGCATACTCGGACCTACTCTCTTCTTGATCTTCATTAATGACCTTTGCAATCTTAAAATCCATAACTCTAAAATAGTTTCATATGCTGATGGCACCGCTTTTACCTTCTTTGCTGGTTTTTAGACTGAACTCCAAAAATTGCGCAAAGTGGCTTTAACATCACATATGATTGTCTCCGTGTACACACCCTTACTTTAAATACATCAAAAACTAAAATCGTTACTTTTTCTATCTCTCCAATATCACAACCAAAAATACCAATAAAGTTAATAGCTCCTTCATGTCATTACGAAAACCAACAAATTTGCCATTGTCCCTCTATTAGTCCGGTTGATACAATCAAATATCTTGGCATAACTCTAGATAAATTCCGACAGTCAACTCTCATTTTGATAAAAGGTTTTTCCCGTATCTTGGTCTCCTTCTTTATAACAAAATAAATTTTAATATTCCCATTTATGAACTATCTAATTACAAATTTAAGAAAGCTGTGTACTTCTTCCTATTAAACAAGAGTAATTATGAAGAGACAGAGCAATATTTATTGACAATAACTAACTAATTTATATTATATTAGTATAATTATATGATGAGATTGACACTACACATAAAGGCACACACACACACGAACGCACACACACACACACACACACACACACACACACACACACACACACACAATCTGTAGTACTAAAAAATTAAGAGGATTTTATTTGTTTCCTTTTAGTAAGGGGGTAAGGGACTGAATCTCCTTAATACAGGCTATTTTATAGTCTAGCAAGGAGAACAGAACGTCACCCTCACTAGTATTTTTACCTAATTTTTATTATTTCATGTACGACATTTTTTTTCTCTGTATGTACTACATGTTTAAAGTTTTTAATAAAGTTGTTACATATTATTATTATAAATGTATTTTAATAAGGCTATATAAATGTTTAATTCCGTCGGTACAACGAATAAATATAAATAATTTTAACAATTGTGTTCATAAACGACCGACTATTATATGATATGATATGACTATGGTATGTTTTGTTGTTATTTTTTTTTTCAATATATCTCTATAATATTCTAATAATATATTACATATTTTACATGAATTCATATAAAGCGTTTCAATTGACTAAAAAATCAAATAACTAAATAAGTTAAATAAAAAACCTTTAAATAAGATGAAATATGAGAATATTTCAGCGCGCAGCTTGGCCGGCGGGCCCGCGCACGTCGTCAGCAGCACCGACGTTACGTGTAGTGATGTGGTACCTGAGAGCATCGCATGTAGTAGTAGAGCGCGCGCTCGGCGGCGGGCGAGAGCGGCGGCAGCGCGGGCTGCACGCGGCGCAGCACGGCGCGCAGCTCGGCCGGCGAGCCCGCGCACGTCGTCAGCAGCACCGACGTTACGTGTAGTGATGTGGTACCTGAGAGCATCGCATGTAGTAGTAGAGCGCGCGCTCGGCGGCGGGCGAGAGCGGCGGCAGCGCGGGCTGCACGCGGCGCAGCACGGCGCGCAGCTCGGCCGGCGAGCCCGCGCACGTCGTCAGCAGCACCGACGTTACGTGTAGTGATGTGGTACCTGAGAGCATCGCATGTAGTAGTAGAGCGCGCGCTCGGCGGCGGGCGAGAGCGGCGGCAGCGCGGGCTGCACGCGGCGCAGCACGGCGCGCAGCTCGGCCGGCGAGCCCGCGCACGTCGTCAGCAGCACCGACGTTACGTGTAGTGATGTGGTACCTGAGAGCATCGCATGTAGTAGTAGAGCGCGCGCTCGGCGGCGGGCGAGAGCGGCGGCAGCGCGGGCTGCACGCGGCGCAGCACGGCGCGCAGCTCGGCCGGCGAGCCCGCGCACGTCGTCAGCAGCACCGACGTTACGTGTAGTGATGTGGTACCTGAGAGCATCGCATGTAGTAGTAGAGCGCGCGCTCGGCGGCGGGCGAGAGCGGCGGCAGCGCGGGCTGCACGCGGCGCAGCACGGCGCGCAGCTCGGCCGGCGAGCCCGCGCACGTCGTCAGCAGCACCGACGTTACGTGTAGTGATGTGGTACCTGAGAGCATCGCATGTAGTAGTAGAGCGCGCGCTCGGCGGCGGGCGAGAGCGGCGGCAGCGCGGGCTGCACGCGGCGCAGCACGGCGCGCAGCTCGGCCGGCGAGCCCGCGCACGTCGTCAGCAGCACCGACGTTACGTGTAGTGATGTGGTACCTGAGAGCATCGCATGTAGTAGTAGAGCGCGCGCTCGGCGGCGGGCGAGAGCGGCGGCAGCGCGGGCTGCACGCGGCGCAGCACGGCGCGCAGCTCGGCCGGCGAGCCCGCGCACGTCGTCAGCAGCACCGACGTTACGTGTAGTGATGTGGTACCTGAGAGCATCGCATGTAGTAGTAGAGCGCGCGCTCGGCGGCGGGCGAGAGCGGCGGCAGCGCGGGCTGCACGCGGCGCAGCACGGCGCGCAGCTCGGCCGGCGAGCCCGCGCACGTCGTCAGCAGCACCGACGTTACGTGTAGTGATGTGGTACCTGAGAGCATCGCATGTAGTAGTAGAGCGCGCGCTCGGCGGCGGGCGAGAGCGGCGGCAGCGCGGGCTGCACGCGGCGCAGCACGGCGCGCAGCTCGGCCGGCGAGCCCGCGCACGTCGTCAGCAGCACCGACGTTACGTGTAGTGATGTGGTACCTGAGAGCATCGCATGTAGTAGTAGAGCGCGCGCTCGGCGGCGGGCGAGAGCGGCGGCAGCGCGGGCTGCACGCGGCGCAGCACGGCGCGCAGCTCGGCCGGCGAGCCCGCGCACGTCGTCAGCAGCACCGACGTTACGTGTAGTGATGTGGTACCTGAGAGCATCGCATGTAGTAGTAGAGCGCGCGCTCGGCGGCGGGCGAGAGCGGCGGCAGCGCGGGCTGCACGCGGCGCAGCACGGCGCGCAGCTCGGCCGGCGAGCCCGCGCACGTCGTCAGCAGCACCGACGTTACGTGTAGTGATGTGGTACCTGAGAGCATCGCATGTAGTAGTAGAGCGCGCGCTCGGCGGCGGGCGAGAGCGGCGGCAGCGCGGGCTGCACGCGGCGCAGCACGGCGCGCAGCTCGGCCGGCGAGCCCGCGCACGTCGTCAGCAGCACCGACGCGCCCGACGCGCCCGACACCCCGCAGCTGCCGCCGCTAGCGCCGCTAGCGCCGCTAGCCCCGGACGCGCCACTAGTGCCCGATCCTCCTACACAACACACATTACAAGCACGCAATTACCACAAGCCTATAAGTACTACAAGCCCATTGTGCCTGAACCTCTTACTCAAAGTAAAAAAAAAATACAAAAACAACACGCATTGACCATGAGCTGTGGATGAGACTGCCCTACTTGGTGATTATGTGTCCGCATCTATTACATAAGTTACATTACAACATACATTCATCATGAGCTATGACGATCCAAAGATCCAGAAACCGCCTACACATATACCAACACGATTGCATCATGAGCTGTGAGAATCCCAACGAGGATACTATATGCCAAACACGCCCGACGCACCGGATGCACCAGAAGTACCCGATCCTCCTACACGAGTCACATTACAACACGCATTCATCATGTTATGATATCCCAATGAGTATACTACACGACCGATGTCCCCGAACCTCCTACACAAGTTACACGCACATACCAACACTGTGATGATTCTGCCCTGCCTGATTATGATTACATTCATAAAACTGAAGTGATAAACGAACTTACACAACACCTGATGGTAAGTGGCTACTGCTATCCATAGACACATGCAGCTAATTTCAAACAAAGAAGACTGCAGATGCGTTGTCATCTCTAAGGCCTAATATGGAATGCCTCACAAACTGCAATTATACAGGTTTTCTAAATAATGTTTTAACCTGCTATCCAAAAATTTAACTGATTTCACTACCCGTAAATGCCCTAATCAATAGGTGAGCAAGTAACCTTGCAGTAAAGAATACAAATGTTTTACTCGCGGCTCGTCGTTTCGATACACTGGCGAGTCGAACAGTTATTACTCAGAATTTGTTGATGCAATGCGTAAAATTTCATATAACGAGCCGCGAACTGGCTCGTCAGCACCATCGAGATCGAAAATCCACTACCCTATATCATCCCGTGGGTGACACGCATTAAGAGGTGAGAGGGAAACTAAAACAGAAGGTGTAAAACGACATCTTCCTGATTCTGCCAATCTGCCTGCAAAGCGTGGCAACTATGGAAAATATCCTTTCTACAAGGAATCTATGAGAAAAGTTCAGCAGCGGACTTCTAATAGACTGTAATTAATGTAAATACCTTTGATACAACCGAATAGGCACTTGGGTGAAAAGTAACAATTATGATAAAAACAAAACAACATCTATCGCGTCGGCCCTAATATAATAATTTTAATAAAGTTAAAGTTACCTAAAGAAACCTCCAAAATTCCCTAAAAATTAATCTTTGAACAGCGACTAATACGTAGTTTGGTCCTTCGAGCCGGATGATAAATTTAAAATCAGTGATACACTGGTGACAATAGGAGTCTATCAAGTAAGTCGTTTGCTAAGCTTGACAAGGGCAATGACTGGCAATTAAAGTAGAGTTAAGAAGATATCGTACGTGAAATAAAATTTAAAGGTGCAATGCGTAAAAAAGTCAACGTGACTTTTTCATCGGAGTTTTGGCGGGAATTTGACCGGCGGCGGTATGCTGCTCCTGTATTATTGTTTAAATAATGGTTTTAAGTGGACTTTGATATGTAAAAGTGGTGCGATTTTGTATATTAAGTGTCTACGCATGTGAACTATTAGTGGAAACGGTGAAACAAGTGCTGTAATTATGATGTGATTCTCAATATAAGGTTGTGTGCTTAAGCGCCTTGAGACACAATTGAAACTATCTGCTGGCTCAAGTTGGCGTCAAAATCTCCCGAGGACTTCACAATGTGTCGCATCATTTAGCGTTCATTCATTACAGCCTATCCAAGTTTACTGCTGAACATAAACCTCTCAGATAAACTACCTCATATGGGTTATAAATAATTATTTGTTTGCGTGTTCCTACATTTCTATAATTTTATTTGCAAATCCTGTATTTCTACTTACCGGAACCGTTGGTTGTTATTCCTGAATCATGACTAAGTCCAAGCTGTTGATTCTCCGGTCTGGACACGCCTGATGAAGAGCCGGATCCAAGGGAACTCATGGATTCCCAATGAGACAAAGATAACGCTCCTGAAATATTACATCACCTTTTACTAACTAGTTTTTTTTAAACATAGAATAAGAATGACAAACGAGCATACAGTGCATCTGATGGTAAGTGGCTGCTGTGGGCCATAGACATCTACATTTATCCTTGACTAAAAATCAAAATGCCGATGCGTTGTCACCCTTGAGGACTAAGACGGAATGCCTCGTTTCCAGTAAAAAGGCATCTAATCCTCTACACTCACCATACGAAACACAGCAGCATTTAGCTGCTATTTTACGCTGGTATTCTGTGAGAGCGTATCCCGGTCGAGCCAACCCATTTGTGCAACAACTATATCATAGCTGCAGCTTGGCTTTACCACGTAAGAGAGTTGAAGAGTTCACATAAACTTAATACTTTATTCCATTGGGAGTAACATACCTGAAGCGACCCTGCCGGCGTTGAGATGGCTGTACGGCTGCAGAAGTCCCCACAGATCAGCGCAGTTGGCAATCGCTTGATCCAGTACAGCCGGCGTAATAGGGGCAGAGGCTGAGCTGCTGCCTGCGATCATGGCTATTTCCTCCAGCAGAGTTTCCATGCCAGCGCACAGATAGATAGCTGCGTATCTGGCATCAAAACAATGGTGTTAGTGAACATATTTTTTTTAATAAATACTAGCACTGCCAAGTGCCAACATTACTAATAATCCCGTTAACCCGTTCAGAGGGAGGGAATATAGAGTGCATCCGTGCTTACGCATAAACTCGGGCACTATAATCCCGTCTTACGCAGATGTGTAGTCTCCATTGAGACTGGCAGCGTAACCAAAATTCGACCTGGAGGACACTATTTCTGTTAAATATTAAAGTTAAGTGCTTGAGTTATGAGTAGTAAACGATAGTAGTCGAATGGCGGATTCATAACCATGACCACTGAGATCGCGGTCCGCACCTACCATTCGGCTCCTGTCGCTTATCATAATTAATGCTTTTTGGTGTTTGGTTTGTGTTTGTGTTTCTGTTCCTTTGTGTTTATGTGAGTGTGTGTTACATGTAAATGAGTATATGTGTGAGTACTGACTCGCCCACAAAATGTGCGATCCACCTTCCAGCACTGGAAGCGAGTCAATGTATCTGTGTCTGTACGTCAGTGTGCGTGTGCGTGTGTGTGTGCGTGTGTGTGCGTGTGTGTGTGTGTGTGTGTGTGTGTGTGTGTGTGTGTGTGTGTGTGTGTGTGTGTGTTTGTGTTTGTGTGTGTGTTTATTTACCCATAATGGATGCGACGCGTACGTGTAACATTTAGCAGTGAAAGCGGCTCGAAGCGAGGCTCTGTGTCTGTGTGCGTTCGCGATGTGCGCGCGTACTCACTCGTGCACGAAGGGTGCGACGCGCACGTCCAGCATCCAGCGCTGGAAGCGGCCCGGCGCCAGGCTGGTGCGCGCGCGCGCCGCCGAGCCCAGCCGCCGCGCCGCGCTGCCCGACGTCGCGTACATCGTCGCCGCGCGCTGGCAGCCCTGCGGACGACACCGGACTTTAATAGTCACATGAAAAAGTGACGGAGGACTTAGAACTCGACCGGAGTAGAATACCAGCGTGAAACAGAAGCAAAATGCTGCTGTTTTTCGTATCGTGAGTGTAGAGAACCGGAGACCCATTTTTATTGGAAACGAAGCATTCCATCTTAGTCTTCAGGGATGAAAACACATCTACATTTTGAGTTTTTGCCGAGGATAGATATAAATGTCTATGAGCCAAAGCATCTTCTTACTATCAGGTGAGGTGTATGTTCGTTCGTCACCCTTTTCCTATAAAAAAATGAGGGAACTTGACCACTGGCGAATGATTGCTCACGCTTTAATGTTTAAATACCTAATAATTTAAAGTAGATTTTGATTCGTAGAATGATGTGATGTTATCTATTAAGTGTCTGTGCATGTGAACCATTAGTGAAAACTGCAAAACAAGTGCTCTAATATTCATAAAAAACCTCAACTTAATTTGTTCGCTTAGGCGCCTTAATCTCTCAAATCCCGAGATTGTATCGAACCAACTCCGTCAGACCTGTGGTCAGTCCAAGGTCAATATTTTTTTTATTTCTCAAAACCAGGTCCTGTCAACTAATGTATGGCATTACTAACAACGTCATTGCATAAATTGGCAAAGAACTACGTCGGATTCGCAAGTTGATATAGTTCTTGACAAACCGTACAGATGGCGCTGTTACAGAATTATTTCATTTGTGACATTTATTTTACCACATTCGTACCTTAAAGTTGCCAAGTAATTATAAAACCTGTAAAATGGGGGTATTCACCTATTGATTTTGTATCTATCTATTGATTTTAAAATACCAAGTTGTTTATTTACTGTAAATTTGAGTTTCCTTTCGATTTTATGGGAAATCTCTGAGTTTTCGAAAAAATTATATAGACGGCTTTTACAAACTGAAAGTTGTACAAACTGGCATAAAGAAAATAAAACTACAAAAGCTTTAAAAAATCTGTTACGTTTGCAAATAAACTTGATTAAGGCAACAGCAACATTTAAATTTAAACGAAAACATACGAGCCCGACATTTTTCAGGTGTTGCCACTTTATTAACTTAATATTCTACTACAAACAAATTTCACAAATGAAATAATTCTGTAATTCTCTAAACAGCGCCATCTACACTGTTTGTCACGTACAACATCGACCTGTGAAGTCCACGTAGTTCTTTGGGACTGAAGTAAATGCAACGCGCAATGGCGGAAGGTCGTCATTTAAAGTGAAATCTCTTAATTTATAAAAGCGTAATTTAGTAACGAGACTAATTCTAATAAAATTTTTAGAATTGTAATTGTACAATTCATATAAACAACATTTAAAAAAGAATTGTTCTGAGGGGTCTACAAATGTGGCATGTGCTAATCCGATGTGATGGATTGGTACTCCACAGATTAAGGACTTGTGATAATTTTGTTATCGACTGTCTGCTAGGATAAACAAAAACCGTTAAAATCTTCCATTCGCAATGTGACTATGTGACGCATCAGCATATTGTGACACAGAATTAGTAATTCATTTATGGGGCAATGTATACGCTTTTACAACGAAATCCCGGAAAATGATCAGTTTGTCAATAAACAACTTTAAAAGTTTTATTAAAGAAAAAAATTACAAAACGGGTTATTATAATATCAAGGATTACATGACTGAAAACAATCCCTGGCAATGAGGTGATCGCCACCATGCTGGAAAGAATGTAATCCCGCTGAGTTTCTTGCTGGTTCTTCCCAGGACATATGGGAATGGAGGTATTTTCTGATCCAGGCGAAAATAAAAAAAGGAGTTTTAATAAGTATTATGTAATAATCAATATTGAATAAAAAGTCATTCTATTTTCTATTCTATTAAAATATGTAAGACATTGATTTTGAATTTGACCTTGAAGTGAATCCAGCTCTGCAGAAAAGGCATGTGATTTTCCGAATAATACTCATACTAACTTTGATGCAAGAGTCAGCCAGTGGCGTGCTCAGTACAATTTTGAAAGCGCCTGCCACCTCGTGCTTTGAGCAGAAGCCGAAGTTCTGCGACAAGCGTTGCGCCTCGCGAGCGATTCGTACCAATGCCCTGGAAAACAAAAAATTACATATTTTTTATATATAAGAGGAGGTAAATGGACATGCGGCTCGCCTGATGGTAAGTATAAGCCCAAGAACAACTAAAACTTTCTAAAAAGTGAGTAGGCTCTTTTCTTTAGGTCCCTAAGTCGTATAGGTCCAGAAAAATCGATGGTGGTAATCGATTCTACAAGGAAGTTTTGCGAGGAAGAAAACTTGTTGTAAATCGCATAGTGGTGGACCTTCAATCATCCAGATTGTAAGAATAATCATTAAGATAGTTTGTTAATGACAAACAGCATTTAAATATATTATCTTTTATATTTTCATTTGTTTATTTAAAAGGATAATAATACAATAAGTATATACAAGAAATACATTATTTTCATTTTTATGCCGTATTTACGCATCTTATCTAACGAATTAAGAAAAACTTATTTTGTGCTACAAACATACGCATGGTCTTTGAGATTAAACTCGTTTAATAATTAAAACAATATAAAACATTATACATATTCTCTACGCTACAGTTGTCATATTGTTAGTGTAGCAATATTATTGTTTTGAGTACTCGAGTAATTGTTTTGTATTTATACTCAATACTTATAGAATGTATATAGAATCAAGATTAAAGTGGGGTTTCTTTGATAAAATACCTCTGTAATAAGTAAGCTAATCTCGGGGGAGTGTCCGGCGCCATTTTGGCCGCAATTTCCCGGCATCGGCCATTTTGTAGCGCGCGGCTCACTTCACTCGCAGTCCACGGCACGCATCGCAGCTCTACTAGTCTGACACAAAAATAATACGTTAATATACCCTCTTGAGGATAGCGTCACGTTTTGAACATTCTTATTTAAGTCACGTGCTACAAATTTTTCAACACGCAATGGGTTAACCGGCAGAGAATGGAAACTGGCATTAAGTCCGCCCTTCGTAGGTAACCTTTATGGTTAGCGCAATAAAGTTTTTGAATAAATAAATAAACAAAAACATTCTCTTGCGCCGTTTATGTTCGGCTCATCTCAATCCGATACCCCATATCATCCCGAGGATACCGTAAGAGGTGAAATGTCAACTGAAACGGCATCAGGAAGCGGCACCTGCTAAGTGTGCAATCGTAGAAGGTCTGTCCAGCCGACGATTATAATAGAATTCCAAACAGAAACTATTTTATTCAATATAGATTATAAACAATACTTGGTAAAAATACTTCCTATGTTTAATTTATGTATCATAGGTTGGGATGACGTTTATTGCACCCTCTTGCCTCTTAAGCTAATTATAACATAGCTATAAAAACATTTTCATAACCCTTTTTTTACCAAACTTTGAAATGGTTTGTACCAAATATTTTTTATTCATTTATTTTCTTCCAATTAAACAATAAACGTTTTTAACATTTTCATCTGCCAAACTGCATTATCGTTTGTCGGCAGTAGTTCTCGTCTTACATGCTTATGTTTATATAATCTGCAAAGTATAATTTCTTATACATATACTAACATTTTCCAACATCTATTTTATTTATACATATTTAGTACAAAGTTTGTTATGAGGTCCACATCAGCCAAATATTAATACTGGTTCATTATTTTTGAATTATTTTTTATATACATACTACATATACACATATACACTAATTCAACACATACTCAAACAGCATACGTGGTAGAGTCATGCTGCAGCTATATTATGGTTGTAGCAAGAATGGGTCGGCTCGACCGACGACGGACCACGCTCTCACAGAATACAAGCGTAAAATAGCAGCTTAACGCTGCTGTGTTTCGTATGGTGAGTGTAGAGAACCGGAGACCCTTTTTACTGGAAATGAGACATTCCATCTTAGTCCTCACGGGTGACAACGCATCTGCATTTTGATTCATAATCAAAGATAGATGTAGATGTCTATGGACCACAGCAATCACTTACGATCAGGTGGACTGTATGCTCCTTTGTCACCCTTATCCTATAAAAAAATAAAAAGCACACATCGCATATAGAGTGCTAATTTTAACAGTGTGCTAAGTTTTACATGTAACAAGAAGAATATTGGCAATGAAAGTGGATGATAGATATGAGTAGAGGGAGGCCACAGAAAAGATGGATGGACTTTATTGGGGTTGATATGCGTTAGGAAGGAGTGAGTGATGAGATAATGGCTAATAGAGGAGAATGGGAGAGAAGAGTGCTATGCCGACCCCAAATAACGGCAGAGATAAAAGGATAAGGGCAGGAAGAAGACCTTTTACTTGGTAGAGCCAAGCTGCAGCTATATTATGGTTGTAGCACGAATGGGTCGATTCGACCGGTTCACGCTCTCACAGAAAACCAGCGTAAAATAGCTGTGTTTATGGTGAGTGCAGAGAACCGGAGACAACTCTTTTTATTGGAAACCAGGCATTTCATCTTAGTCCTCAAGTGTGACAACGCATATGCATGTTGTTTCTTGATCTAAGATAAATGTAGACGTCTATGGGTCACAGCATTATGCAGAATGTGGGCTCTGTCACCCCATTCTATGAAAAAAAAAAAGAAGAAGTTTGATAAAAAGCGCACCTGTTGTGCGAGTCCACCCACACGAACTCGTCAGCACTGGTGACGTTGGTGCAGACAGTGTCGAGCGAGGGTTGCCGCACCAACGGCGCTCGTCTTCTCCGCGCTTCTGCTGCACTCCCACCGTCTAAAACACGGAGATTGATAATGATTTCATATATTTAAAGAACATATGCAAGCACCGAGATCCCGAGTAGTCTGCAGTCTGTGAACATGTTAAAGATGGACCCCGCTATTACGTTAGATTTGATAGATCACAAATCCTCGCAAAACAACACCGATTCCTACCTAATATGATTCGTGTGGCACCCATAGCCACTGGGGACTGAAGTAATGAGGGCATCCACGACTTTTTTTGCCACCAGGGCGGTGCCAGTGACACAGTGACAGGGCACTACTTTAATATGAGGTATAATATTTGACAGCTTTCATAGCAGAGAAGTTAATTTGTTCGGAAAATGTAAAAGTTAATGTTTCTTTATTTACTATTAGTTATAATTGATATTAATTAGATTAAAAATAAATAAATGAAACTACAGATGTTCATAAAAGTAAAAAAAACATAAAAAAGAGTTATAAATGCGCAAAAAATTAAACCCACACACAACCACTGAGGCATTGTTTGTGTATTAATTTATTACTCTAGAAACTCAATAAAGTTTTATTATAAATTAACGTCTCAATTAAATAACATGTGTAACAAAAAAACTTTACTCCATGTCAATCAGCGACATCTGGTGGGCGGAAAATTAATAGCCCTCATTGACGTCCTGATGACAAAGTTAACTTGGAATACCTTTAACTTTTCAATTATATCTTTTGATCCGATCTATGTAGAATAAGCTTACTGTGTCTTGAAGTCTTGCAGTGGTATGCTCGGGTTTAGTTTTAATTTTATTAAATACAGGATCCCAAGCAGGCGGTAGTACCCGGCCTCGTTCTCTATTATATATCATATAATAGAAGCAACAGACCGAAAATGTTATTATATTTAAAGGAATATTGCATTTTCACGTAATAAGATGGTCACACCTGGTGCTCCTGTATTGCTGCCTCCACCGCCACTGGAGGCTCCGCTTGTAGCGGTACTGCTGCTGTCCCTGGAGCGAAGAGTCAACTGCTTGATGGCAGATCTGATGTCCTCCAGACCTCCACCACCAGGCCACGGGGACTGTAACTACAGCATAGTTTCTTTATAAAATATTAATAAATGACAAAAATATACCTACATATATCTATATTTTACGTGGTAGAGCCATGCTGCAGCAATATTAGTAGTACTTATAGTTGTAGCACGAATGGGTCGGCTCGACCGACGAAGGACCACGCTCTCACAGAACTCCAGCGTAAAATGGCAGCTTAACCCTGCTGTGTTTCGTATGGTGAGTGTAGAGAACCGGAGACCCATTTTTCTGGAAACGAGGCATTCCATCTTAGTCCTCACGGGTGACGACGCATATGCAGAATTTTGATTCTTTATTTAGGATAAATGTAGATGTCTATGGGTCACAGCAACCACTTACCATCAGGTGGACTGTGTTGAATCTTTTTACCACCAAATTACCAATCATTTTGTCACCCTATCCTATAAAAAAAACCTATTCTTTTCGCTATTAATTTTCATGAGATCTTATTTTATACGTGGTAGAGTCACGCTGCAGCTATAGTATGGTTATATCACGAATGGGTCGGCTCGACCGGGAAAGGACCGCGCTCTCATAGAATACCAGCGTGAAATAGCAGCTCAATGATGCTATGTTTCGAATGGAAAGTGTGGAGAACTGAAGACCCTTTTTACTGGATACGAGGCATTCCATCTTAATCCTCAACGGTGACAACGTATCTGTATTTTAATTCTTAATTGAAGATGGATGTGGATTTCATGGGCCACAGCATTCACTTACCATCAGGCGGACTGTGTGCTCATTTGACCCACTTATTCTATATTAAAAAAAGTTCAAAATATCAGCCCATATTATTCTTAAATATAAAAATTGCGGTTTTCAAGCCGGTTGCCAAACGTGATATTGGCAACTATGGCAAATATTTCTCGTATGAAGCAATCTGTTTGTGAGGCTTTTGATACGTTGCAACCACTGAGTGAGGAATATTTTTAAAGCATAATATGTCAGGTGTATTCTTTATGTGGCATTCTCAGTCTTCCTCATGAAATATGAAGATAAGTGGAAAACACTAGCTCTGAAACATAGGAAAGTAATAACTCGAAGCGAAATTGCGTACAGGATGTCCACAATACGGCGTAACATACACACTCGAGTAATATACGTCGGTGTGACACTTTCATTATTTCTTGCACTAGCTTCTGACCGCTGCGTTGCCCGCGTGGAAATGATTTCACCTGTTCACATATTATGTAAATTTTAATGTCCGGTCATAAAAATATTCCAATAAAAAGATTCAACCGATCAATCAATACGCAAAGGCAGTCGTATTGATCCTCGGTTTGTGCCTGACGGGGGCACTTGGTTTGGACGATGTAATTTGCACGTTATTGTATACGTAATTAGTCACTTTATTGCGTATTCGGTCGCTCACGTGGCAGCTAGCGGAAGCAGCTTTTGGTTTTCTTGATGAAGTTTGCACTTTATTGTGTACGTGATTAGTCACCTTATTGTGTGGACGGTATTGGGTGCACGCGTGCGGCAGCTAGCGGGAGCTACTTGGCTTCGATGAAATAGTTTATGCTTTATTGCGTACGTGATTAGTCACTTTGTTGTGGTCAGTGATTTGTTCGCGTGTACTACAGCTGGCGGGTGCGACTTGACTACGATATTGAGAGTTGAACCTCAATGTTTACGCAATTAGTCACCTTATTGTGTGGCCTGTGTTTGGTACGCGGCTGGGTTTACTAACGAGAGCGGCTTGGTTTTTGTAATGAAGTTTGCACCTTATTCTTTACGTGATTAGCCACTTTATTGTGTGGTCAGTGATTGATGCGCGTGTGTGGCAGCTAGCGGGAGCGACTTGGCTTCGATATTGAAGTTAAAACCTTATTGCGTACATAATTAGTCACCTTATTGTGAGGCTGATGCTTGGTGCTTATGTGCAACAGCTGGCGTAAGCGATTTGGCTTCGATGTTGAAGTTTGCACCTTATCGTGTACGTGATTAGCACTTTATTGTGCGATTAGTCCTTGGTGTGCGTGTACGTTTCGATATTTTTAAAAATTGAACCTTATTTTGTACACAATTAGTCACCTTATTGTGTGGCCGGTGCTTGGTGCGCGCGTGTGGCGGCTGACGGGAGCGCCGCGGCTCGTCTCTAGCCGCGTCGGCGCCGCCGCTGTCCGACATCGAGGCGTGCCCCGAGGACCGGTTCTCGTCCGAACTGCTGTTGCACTCTCGGACTCCATTCTGAAATGAATATACAATAATCTCTACCACGTAAAAAATGTTGCAAATGATCTTGATATTGTAAATATAGGAAGCACTGCGGACTTGAAATGTCCGCAATGCTTCGTATGATTACGATATGTGATGTGATGGAATGCACCGAACGAGTCTCCCTGAGTCCCTAACTACATCAGGGGTACACTGGCCAATCAGCTAATCACTTATAGAGCAACTGCCTTAAGTACTTTATACGTGGTAAACCCATACCACAACTATATTGTGGTTGTAGCACGAATGGGCTGGCTCGGCCGGGGAAGGACCACAATTTTACAGAATACCAGCGTAAAATAGCAGCTTAGTAGTCCGCAGAGCTTACAATACATCTGCATTTTTATTTTTAACTGAAGATATATGAGGATGTTTATGGACCACAGCATCCATTAGCAGGACTGTGTTCGTTTGCCACTCTGATTCAATAAAAAAAGGGTTATTACTACCGATTATTTTAATATTAAAAAAATAAAGCTGCTAAATAATTTATCTGTCATCACGCATTCACCAGGTGAACTCATCCGAAATGTCCAACGGGTGAACTCTCCCCCTCTACACATCGAGCGTTGGATTGATCCTCAAAGATTCGACGATTCGTGTACAGCTGGTAAAAAAATAGCGTTTTCTAACAGTCAATTTTTTTCACTCCAGTAGCGTTTTCTCTTGTTCTAAATTAATTAACCATCAGGTCAGCCGTATATGCTCGTTTCTCTCGTCATCCATAATAAAACATAATGTATTATGCAAGTACTCTGACAATTGAGCGAGACAACAGTTTAGATATTAAACTAAAATACTGAAAGATATTAACCGAGATATAATACGAAATATATGTTATAATATTTATGCAACAAGTAACAATACATTCTCATAATCAAATTAAAAACTACATTTTTTTATACCAACGAACTTACGAAACCGCTTCATTCAGCTGCCGGATTCAAGATGGCGTCTATTGTGGTACTTTCGCTTTCAGATGACGGCGGCAGCTTCCCACAGACGATTTTCCTATCGCGAGATCGTGGGATCCCGTTACAGACAATGCAATTTTTTTTACGACGCCACTTTCGCTGTTATGCGACAAGCGTAGTAATCACCTGGGTCTAATTAATGAGGTGCGTCTTGGCGCTGCAAAATACGTAACCCGTTCGTTCATTCACCGGTTTTGAATCTAGAACTTTCCTTAAGTGAGGTTGCAATCTCGCTATTTCATCTATATTTCATCATGTATCGTAATAATAATGCTAAAAATATTAACTTACTGTGTTTGGGAGATTATAGATAATCATGCGATTACATGTTAAGCTAGTGTCAATTTCAGCGACACACTGCATACTCATGCATCTCTCTTTTTACAGAATATAGCTGTCAGATGAGCACAGAGTTCCCCTGATGGTAAACGAATACAGTGGTTCATAGAGATTTACATTTATGCTCGATTAAGAATCAAAATGCAGATGCGTTGTCACCCCTGAGGACTATGACGTGATGCCCTGGTCGAGCCGTCCCATTCGTGCTACAACAATAATGCAGTTGCATGGCTCTGCCTCGTAAACCAACACGTAATAAATAATAATATCAAACATAATATTTTTTAGTTTTGCCTTTGAAATTGCCGTTCTGCAGTACTGGCCATTTCAAATCAAAATAATTTTTGTTTGGAATTCTAATTTCAAATTATTTTTAATTTATTATTAAAAACATGGATTTATTTTTTTCTAAATTAGCCATTTGTTAATTGAGTTACGTTATGTTTTCATCGCATTTGAATCTTTTTCGTCATCATGATATATATGATACGTTAAAAATTCGAGTTATTTTGGAATATGAACTCGTCGTCGTATCAACGACGTTTACAGAGCGAATATTACAAACGAACGCACCACCTGTTATTGGTTTACCTGCTTCCGTTCTTGAAATTTCGACCTGAAAAATGAATCCCGTGGCCATCCAAAAACCTTGGTCGACAATGACGAATTAAAGGTGATTGTGGAAGCTAATGATACTCTATCTACGGCTGAATTAGCAGCAGCTTTCGACGTTAGCATAAAAACAATATTGGTTCCTTTGCCTAAAATTGGCAAGATAAAATAGCTTGAAAAATTAGTGTCCCACGAACTCGACGATCGCCAGCGCGAAGTACGCCTTCAGACGTGTCTTGCACTGATCAACAGGCACACAAACGAAGGAATTTTAAACCGCATTGTTTCCTTCGACGAAAAATTGATTCTCTTTGACAATCGGAAGCACTCAGCAAGTTGGTTGGATCCTGGTTCAGCACTTAAACAATGCCCTAAACGATAACTTACCCCTAGAAAAGTGATGATTACTGTTTGGTGGTCTAGCGCCGATGTGATTCATTACAGCTTCTTACCAAATTGGATGAGCATTACTGCAGATATGTACTGTGAAGAACTGAACACAATGATGGAAAAGCTCGCACGTCTCCAACCAGCTTTGGTCAATCGCTCGTCCCCGCTGCTCCTACACGAAAACGCGCAACCTCATACTGCATAAATGATGGCCTTCAAGTTGCAAGAGCTGGTATTGGAAGCTCTCCGCCATCCGCCGTATCCACCAGACCTTGCGCCTACAAACTTCTACTTTTTCCAGAATTTCGATTTTTATTTGGCGGGAAAAAATGCATTACCCGAGAGGCAATACAAAATGCATTTGAAGAATTTGTTGCATCCCGTCCAGCTGATTTCGTCAAGAAGTGCATTAATAAACTGCCACTGTGTTGGCGAAGATGCATCGATTGCACTTTGATTAATAAAAATGAAATATGTAGAAAACAATTACGATTTCATAGGCAAAGATATAGTATAAAGGATTAAAGGTTACATTAAACTGTTAATGGTTTATTAATTCCGATAGTTTTGACAATCAATAAAATATAATTCAACATGGCGGTCTGAAAGCCCTGAACAGTTTTATTGGCAAACATCAATATAGCGTCATAAATCCGACCGAGGCCAGCGGCAATGGCTGCTATTACAACACCGTGCCAGGCCGACAAACAGTTATAAAGTAACAGCTTGAAATATGAAATGGCGCTGATTATAATAAAAAGGAGTTACTATTAATCCGTCAACGGACAATGGCAGATTCTAGTATTAAAGCCTTAGGAATACAGCGAGGAACACAAATACAATTCTTTTTTATAGTAGAAGGGTGACAAACGAACACACAGTCCACCTGATGGTAATTGGTTGCTGTGGCCCATAGACATCTACATACATTATTGATTAAAGAATCAAAATGCAGATGTATTGTCACCCCTGAGGAATAAGATAGAATGCCTCGTTTCCAGTAAAAAGGGTCTCCGGTTCTCTACACTTACCATATGAAACACAGCAGTGTTAAGCTGCTATTTTACCCTGGTATTCCGTGAGAGCGTGGTCCCTCCCAAGTCGAGCCGACCCATTCGTGCTACAACTATACTATTAATATAGCTGCAGCATGGCTCTACCACCGAAGAAATAACGAAAATGTTTGAGGGAGATATTATTAGTTGGTTATTCACAAAAGTTCATTACGGACAATGAAATTATTTATTAAAATACGCAGTTAATTTAGTAACGTAGTGTAGTGGCGGTGTAAGAATATCTACTACCCCATATCATCCCGTGGGTGTCGTGAGAGGCGACAGAGGGAAAGTGAAACAGGAGATGGGCAGCAGCAGCTTCCTGATAACAATTCAAAATAATAAAAAAACTGCGATTGCCAAGCATGCCAAGCGTGGCAACTATGGTAAAATCCCCCCTATGAGGCAATCTATATGCCTATGTTCAGCAGTGTACTTTTATAGGCTGTAATGGAATGGAATTTAGTTACGAATCGTGCAAACGGGCAAAGTAAAACGATAGACGGATAAAAGTGACGACTAAGGAAAAATATATGAGATCCATATCCAGCAGTAAACTTCTACGGGCTGATAAAGAAACAAAATAATTTAAAATAAAAAAATGTACAACCGTATTCAATATAAATTATTAAGAATAATTCAAAAACTAATGATCAGACCTTGATCAAATTTATATGGGACCACATGAGAAGCACCAGCTTTCTAATAATAAAAAAATAATCATCGAAATCGGTTCACCCAGACAAAAGTTATGAGGTAACACGTAAAAGAAACATACAGTCGAATTGAGTACCTTCTCCTTTTTGAAGCCGGTAGAAAAAGAACCCGTATCATAAAAGATTCAAATTGAATTGGGTTACATAATAAAAAAAAATTGCGAGACCTCAAGATACTGTAGCTTATTTTGCTGTAAGCTTGTTCTGCGTAGATCGATCCAAAAATTAATATACGAGTTTTTATGTGGTAGAGCCATGCTGCAGCTATATTATGGTTGTAGCACACACAGGTCGGCTCGACCGGAGAAGGACCACGCTCTCACAGAATACCAGCATAAAATAGCAGCTTAACGCTGCTGTGTTTCGTACGGTGAGTGTAGAGAACCGGAGACCATTTATACCGGACATGGGACATACTTAGTCCTCAGGGGTGGCAACGCACCTGCATTTTGATTCCTAAACGAGTAATATACAGTATGTACAGCATCCACTTACCATCAGGTGGACTGTGTGCTCGTTTGTCACCCTTATTCTATAAAAAAAAGAGTTAACTATGTCCCCAGGACCTTAAAGCATCCGAAACGTAGTGAATTAAATAATGCGAAATTTTAAACTAGAGAAAATAAATTAATTGATTTTTGGATGATAACAAAATAAATAGGGTATTTTCAACCGGCTTCTAAAAAAAGGGGGAGGTTCTCAATTGGACTGTATTTTATATGTGTGTTACTAGAGAACTTTGTTCTAGCTCAACCAATTTTAATGATTCTTTTTTTTTAATAGAAAGTTGGCGCTTCTCATGTGGTCTCATATAAATTTGATCAAGATCTGACCAGTAATTTTTCAGTCATCCTTAATATTTAATTGACGTCAACTATTGCAATTTT